CCCCAGCCGAGCCGTTCCGCCATCGCCGCGCCCCTGCTGCTCTTGCTCGAGGGTGGCTCGGAGCTGCTACAGGAGGAGTCGATCTTGCTCGACCTTGGTTTGAAGCTCACGGAGCTGCTCTAGGTCTATGCGTCGAAGTTGCTCGGGGGTGGGGACACCTGCCGCCGCTGGCAGGGATCCCATGTGTGGTGGTGTGGCGTTGGCTGCCCTTCCTCCATCGTTGCCCATGCTCGGCATTCCGAGTCCGATGTGGAAACACTCACGAGTCGGGCCGTAAGCGTCCTCGCCGTCGGAATCGGAGTAGCCGAAGCAGTAGTCGCTCGCGATCATGAAGCGGCGCATCGCCTCAGGGTCGCGAATCCCGGAGAAGTCTGCTCCAACCCACGCCTCGTCCTCCTCCGAGGAGTCAGAGTGGGGGTGGATTGGAGTTGTGACTATGGGGTTATGGGCATGACGTTGATGAATGGAGACGAGGGCGGTGGCGTAGGATGCGGCGACATTGGTCAGCCCGAAAGGGTACGGGGATGGCGCCGTCGCCAGGCTCTGCTCCGCTAGAGCTGGCTCCTCGGGAGGAGGCGGGACAGAGCTTGATGATGGGGCGTCGCTGTACGCCACCGACCCTTTTCCCTTGTCGAGGCTTAAGCCGGACAGGTCCCCGTGCAGGGACTCTGTGCCAGCAGTGGGGTATGGGATTCCGGTGGAGCACAGATCGGCGTTTTGTACTTGCGCAGTGTTAGGGTGGACTCGCCCGCGCGGCGCTTGGCGAGCTTGACGGGAGCGGCGGCCCGGGCGCCGTCCGCGCGTGGGCTGCCGGTGCATGACGTCGTCGTCGGTTGATGGCGCTCTAGGTGAGAGGAGTACCATGTCGTACTCGTGCCCTAGAGACATGAATTCTAGGCTCCCGAACCAGACGATTGTCCCGAGACACAACGATCGCACGGGGTCTGCCATCCGGAATCTGGTGGGATGACTAAGCTGACACGCAGACGCCCCTACCTGGTGCGCCAACTGTCGGTGTTTCGGAACCGGGGGTCCTTAACCGACTAGTAAATTTGTGCTGCGTGCTCCCAATTCCGGATGGTGATGCAAAGAGACACAAGGTTTATACTGGTTCGAACAATGGATGCCCTACGTCCAGTCTGAGAAGATGTTCTTGTATTTCTCGCACCGGGGTGCTCGTAGTAGGGGGTTACAAGCTAGGCGAGAGAGGGAGTTCGTCCCAGGTCTCTGTGAGGGGAGGTGATATGAATTACAGAATGAGGCGTATTGTTCGTGCGAGTATTCGTGACTCTATCCGCCGTCCCTAGAAACGGTCCTGGCCGCCTCCTTTTATAGCCGCAGGGAGGAAACCAGGGAGTACATAAGAGAGCTACACGTGGAGCGGACTATTCGATGACGATTTACTCTGGAGCAAGCATGGCGTTGTCGTGGGAGTTCCGTAGATGTCTAATCGGTATGGTCTCCACCGCAAGTAACATCTTCGCGCATTGTTGACTTGGTGGATTGCGAGAGGCTCGTGCCATCGTAGCCGGTCGTGTCGAGGCCTGCTCAGCTGAGGTCTTAGAGCTGCCGTCTTAGGGCTGAAAGTGACCAGTGCGATCATGCGGGTCTCGCCGCCATCGGCGGAATAGTGTGAGACGTCGCCCTCTGAGGATCTGATACTGTATTGTTAGTAAGGGATGGTAAAAAGATGATCGACCGTTGTCCGTCGCTCCTATTGCGGCGCAAGCACCGCCGATCGTGGCTTACGTGGCGGGTGCGGTGGCGCGCATTGGTTGGATGCGACGACTGCCGCCAGAGACCTTTGAGGCGGGCGGCGACGAGGTTGCGGATTTGAGCCCGGCCTCGGGCGGCGGCGAAGCGCCAATTCGTCGAGAGCCCTCCGGGGGTCTCGGGCGAAGGCGACGGGCGAGGTGGAGTAAGATCGATGAAATCGAGGCCTGTTGAGGGGGCTCGGACGAGCCGGAGTTGTCGGTCCGGCCGATTCCGAGGCTGAGGAACTGCTCGACTCCCAGTTGCGATGTCCTTGGCGCGGGAGTTAAGCGAAGACAGTGGTCGGTAACCCTCGCTGTGCCATCGCGGATGGCGAGAGGTTAACGCGATCGTGCGCGTGTAGTCGGTCACTTATTTATCTTGTGCCATCGTAAGCGTCTGTCGGAGTGGTTAGGCGCTTGGATCGCGACGTTGATCGAGCGGTTTGGTCGAAGAGGCGGTCACGGGTCTGGTGCCGAGCCGGCCTCGCACGCGAATCGAGAATCGGCACTTCTTTCGAGGCCCCGGGCGAGGGGGCCTCGACGAGGGGGCCTCGGCGAGGCGGTCTCGGGCGAGTCGGAGAATCGTTCGCTTCCGCTGGGGCTCGGCGACGGGGTCTCGGGCGAATCGGAGATTTCGGCCGATACCTCGTTTGTTTATTCCATTGGTTCTGTTCTTAGGGTCTAAGCATTTTTTCGATCTTTGCTTGGGGTACCCCATTTTCTGGTATCCAACAAGTTTTCTCATGAATTTTTTCATAGAAGGAAAAAATTGATAAGCTGTTAGGGAAAATGCATCGCTACACGTCAACAGTCTCAAAAGTTCTCATCCAATGTCACAAATGATTTTGATGACGTGGAGGGAAGAAAAATATAAGAGAAAGAGGTAGTTGTTTAAGCAACCACCTCGAGCAAAATTTAGAACTATGAGGCAATTCTTTCACCATGTCAGATTCAATGTTGCCATGCAATGCAAATCATAGACTTTTATTTGTTAATTGCATAAATTAAGGATAGTTGAATTATATAAGACAACTTAAAAGACAACGGATTTTTCAATCGTCTTGTAATTGTGTAACATTGCATGAGACCATCTACAAGACAATATAGTAATGTATTTACCCTTAGGGGTTGTTTGGATTCATGGAATTGAATCTCATTCCTTGATCAGATTCTAGCAATTAGACCCCTCCTAGAAATAGGTTAGCCAGAATTTGATTCAGTTCATTTTTTTTGTTTGGGTTGTCATGGAAACTTTTTTTTAGAATTAAATACCAATTCCTGTTTGGCTATGGTGAATGTTTCTCTGGTCGGCCTAACAAGTCGCGGGGACTCCCTTGACCTCCAAGGGCAACCTTCGCGTCGCCAGCTGGCCATGGCCCATGGGCGTCTGCCACTATGCCCTTCGTGTATATTTGGACAGCAAGAAGGCCAAATAGTTTTTTTTTCTAAGAAATATTCCCTGAAAAGATCAGGAGCATATACTTAGAGTACAGCAAGACGAAATCAGCAGAACATAAGAAAATAAAAGAAGCCCATTTCTCGGCCCAAATAAAGCACGAGAAAGCAGCTCGAGAGAGAAAGCAGAAGAAAGGTACTCCTGCATCGTTCATGCATCACGCAAGCGCGTCTCGTCCCTGCACTCGCATCGCATGACAGATTGACAGTGCATGCTCTCTGGACTCGCGTCTCGTCCCCTCCGGCGGTCCGGCCCTCCCGGTCGGCCGCTCCGATCTCTGCAGTCTTGTTTTTTACTCACTTTCCCCTGGACCACTTTCACCCAGCAAGTGAAGATATACACCATCATCATTCGCCTCGTGTCATAAATCCAGCGACCTGCCAGCTCGTGGAGTAAATAAAGGGAAAGGCGGTAAAAAAGCAGGGGCCACGTTTTGGAGGCCGGATTCGACTCCGTCGGATTCGGCGTTACTGTAGATATACTGTAGCGTTTTGTTTTTATTTGGTAATAATTGTCCAATCGTTGACTAATTAGGCACAAAACGTTCGTCTCGCAAAGTACAACCAAACTGTGCAATTATTTTTTGATTTCGTTAACATTTAATCTTTCAAAATGCATGTATCTGCTTGAAGTTTGATGTGACGAGAAATCTTCTTTTTGCATAGTGCTAAATTCAGGAAATCCGAGGAACTAAACAGGCCCAGGATTTGAAACGGCTTGCTGCCCTGGGCGGCTGTGCGCTGCTCTCGTGCAACGGTCTGCCTGCGATGAATGAGCACTTGCAGTTGCAGCAGTACTAGCTGTCGGAGTACTGCTGGTAGTCTGGTACTGGGGGTTACGAGCCCATACAGCTAGCGCATTCTAGCCGTTAGAAACAGTCAGAGGGAGTCACCATTGTCCGGAACAAGCACAGAGATGGCACGACACGCGTCGTATCCAACTGTAGGAACTGCTAAGCATCCTGAGCTACCAGAGAATTAGGGTATGTTTGGAACATAGTAATTTTATATATAAAAAAAACTGTATAGAAATTTTACAGACGTTAGATAAATTTACAATTTACAAGCAAATGTAGTATGATCTAGAGAAAAATTTCGCGTTCTGAAGCCAGAGTTTTCGGATAGAAACTTTACAGACATCAGCTAATGTGATTGAACTTATCAGCCTGACTTATCAGTCATGATACACCAGCCTGTTAAGGTCGAAGTGCTCGTGCTTGCCTGATGATTCACTTCACCGACCACGCAACTTCGCAGTGAAGCGCATCTTCTTATGGCCCTGTTCGCTCGTTTGAAACTTGGCTGAAAAACACTGTTCGGCTGGTTTGATGAACAGTAACGTGAGAGGGAATCCAGCCGGCTGGCTGGTCTGGTTCATACCAGCGAACGCAGCCTATATTACAAAAAAAAGAGGAAAATATGATTTGTCATTTATAGTACGTAAACATCCTTTTCATACATCAGGCCGATCGATCGGATCCATACCAAATACACACTACATCGCACACTTCAGCAGACAGTACACGTACACAGCTGTCGTTTCGTACACGCTTAACTGCTCAAGATCAACCCGGCCGCGTAGCTAAGCATATTACCACCACCACCACCACGCGGCCGTACTTTTGTCTATAGCTAAACACCAGGCACCGTCGTCGTGCTTACAGGCACCACGATCGGGACGCGAAAAGCACACGTGCGCCGCCGCACGCCGACGAGGGAGAGAGCAGAGACCGACGAGGGAGAGCAGAGCAGAGAAACTCCGCTCCGGGGTCCGGGCGACCGGCTCACAGCTCACTCCAGGTCCTGGCACCCCGCGAGCGGGGTCCCTTTGCGGCACTGGTTGTGCGCGTACGGCTTGCACCCGTGCTTGATCACGCCGTGGCCCTTGGGGAGCGGCCCGCACAGGCGGTTGTAGCTGAGGTCCAGCTTCTGCAGCGTGGACAGGTGCTCCAGCGACAGCGGCACGGTGCCCCGGATTTGGTTGTGGGACAGGTCCAGGTACGTCAGCTCCGGCGGGAACACCAGCTTGCTGAGGTCGAAGTCGAGGTAGTTCCACGACAGGTCCACCTTGCCGATGGGCCGGCCGGCAACGAACAGGTGGGAGGGGTCGCCGGTGAGCTTGTTGTGGGAGAGGTCCACGGTGTTGATCTCGTCGTGCGCGTCGTCGCGCGGGATGGGTCCCGTCAGCTGGTTGTAGGACAGGATCAGCGACCGGAACTGCCCCTGCACCAGCCCCGTCGGGATGGTGCCCGTCAGCTGGTTGTGCCGGAGGTCCAGCGACCGGAGGTTGGGCAGGTCGGCGAACGCTGACGGGATGCCGCCCGTCAGCTGGTTGCTGGAGAGGTCCACGGAGTCGAGGCTGCGCAGCCGCGCCAGGGACTCCGGGATGGCGCCGGAGACGTTGGTGTGGGAGATGGTGAGGAACTCCAGCTTGGACAGCGCGGTGAGGCAGGTCGGGATGGAGCCCGTGAGCCCCGGCAGCTTGAACAGGGTCAGCGACATGAGCTCCGTGAGCCCGCCCACCGCGGACGGGATCTGGCCGTGCACGTCGTCCGCGGCGTCGATGAAGACGTTGTTCACGCGCCCGGCGTCGTTGCACCGGAGGTGGTCCCACGCGCAGCAGTTGGGCGACGACGCGGTCCACGTCGACAGCGTCGCCGGGTTGCCCAGCGCCTGCTTCACTCTCAGCAGCGCGTGCAGGTCGCTCGGTGAGCAGGACCGCGCCGGCGCCGTGGACGCCGACGCCACGAGCAGGAAGACGGCGAGTAAGGTGGCGGTGGCGGTGGGGGACGCCATCGCGCTCGTGTGCGTTCTGGGAGAGCTGGCTCTCGAGTGTGGTGTGGGGAGTGCGGAAGTGCGGAAGTGAGGCGCACGGAGGCTCCTATAAAAAGGGCGCGGCGTGACGGGATAACCCCTTTCCTTTTTCCCCTCGGCATCTTGCCTCGGTTTTTTTTACCACCCACCACCGGACCGAGGCGCGTGCGCAGACACCGGGATCGCCAGCAGTGTGCACCGCGAGCACCACCGTGGCTGGCATGGTCCTGAGAGGCTGAAACACTGACTGCAACCGGACAAAGCCGCCCCCGTGCCGGAGTGTCCAGTCCGGCGGTAACTGGCCGGGAGGGAAGGATCCGACTATCCGAGTGGGTTCCCCCGGCGTCGCGGCCTCGGGCTCGCGCGATTCGTGCGTGCACGATTAGCATTAGCATGTGGCGCTGCGGCATTCGTCCGCTCCGTTCGCCGGCGTGCGTGCACATTATTGGACGGCCGTGTAGCGCGGCCCTGGCCCTGCCTCCTACACGTAGAGTCGGAGAGTGAGTCGCGTACATGTGCGTGCTGATTTCCAAGAACCGAGATGGGCGTCGCCTAGCTAGCGCCTGCCCTGGATCCGCTTGTCCTGGTTAAGCTTAGGGCTTGTTTACTTCCATTCCAAAATACCAATTTTTTCAAAATTTTCCGTCACATCAAATTTTTGGACGCATGCATAAAGTATTAAATATAAATAAAAAATAAAGCTAATTACACAGTTTAGACGAAATCTACGAGACGAATCTTTTAAGCCTAATTAAACTATGATTAGACACTATTTACCAAATAACAACGAAAATGTTACAATAGCATTTCGCCAAAAAATTCGGCATCCAAATGGTGCCTTAGCAAAGGCCTGGATGAAAGGACACGCAATTAAGTGAGCTACTGTTTTATTGGGATTGCTTGTTTAGTTATTGGACAAACAAATCGAGAGCATCTGGCCTGGAGATTGTTTAAGGCTTTGTTTAGTTCACGAAATGAAAATATTTGATGTCATATCGGATATTTTGGGGATGTTGGAAGAGGTTTTCGGATACTAATAAAAAAAACTAATTACATAGCTCGCCTGGAAACCGCGAGACGAATTTATTAAGCCTAATTAATTCATCATTAGCGCATGTTAGTTACTATAGCACTTATGGCTAATCATGGACTAATTAGTCTTAAAACATTCGTCTCGCGATTTCCAACCAAACTGTGCAATTAGTTTTTTTCGTCTATATTTAATACTCTATGCATGTGCCGCAAGATTTGATGTGATAGTTTGGGGTAAAAAATTTTAGAAACTAAACCAGGCCTAATCCAGATTCGAGAAACAGTTGTGGAGCTTTGTACAGTTATGGAGCACTGTACAGCAACAGCCTGTAACTGTGATGCGACCACTCTCAGGTCTTAAACAGATCTTTGGTGGGAGGTCCGTTATGCAGCCTGATCGTTTGTTGGTTTTAGCTAGAGAATGTTTTTCTCTCACAATAAATCAGCATTAGCTGGATTTATCAATCTAGAAACCAACCAGTGAACAAGCTGATGTTCGTTCATGAGATCGAGATGAACAAGCTGTTCGCTCATAAGCTGACTAATACTGTTTTGCTGTGGGAGACGATAAGTTCACGAGAAAAACTCGGACAGTGCAACTCATGTTCAGAGAGGGCGTGCGTGCCGTGAAGCGTGTGAGCAGTAGCAAACATCGCCACCTTCTGCCGCCACAACCGAACGTTATGTGGCGTCAGAACCGCCCACGCATGCCGAGCGAGCAGGCGAGCAATCATCTTCTGAGTTCTGATCGGCGCAACAAACAGAGCTCTCGTCGGGCCCTTTTGCAGCTCGGCCTCGATATCGCGTCATTTCTGGGGCATTACGTATTTTCTTAATGTTTTCCGCAACACGGAGGCAGAGTCCCCCCATGTGAGAGCTAAATAATGGGGGCATGGAGGCGTCCGACAGGGTTCAGGCCGCACACGAGGATGCATGTGAAGGAGAGAGAGATGGAGCCCGACGAGACGATGGTGGCGAACTGAGAAAAGAGAGGATTCTTTCGGCCGCCTTTCTTTCTGGTTCTGGGCACGGGCAGGCAAGCCGCTGCTGCGGCAGCAGCTAGCTTTGCTTGATGCTCTGCGCTTGCGCTCTCGCTCGCATCCTCCCTCCAGCTGCGCACCACATGGCCCTGCTCTCTGTGCTCTGATCACCAGTTCGGCAAGCGTGCACGTTGCGGCGGAGAGCCGCGATGAATGCCACCATTTTACGCGTTGTTTAGACGCCACCAAGGATCGGGTTGGTTAGATCGTGTGCCGAGCAGTGAGTGAGTGATTGCGGTACTGCGATCCACGATAGTTACAAATGTTCGCAGGACCAGATTTGGCATTATGACCGACCAAGTGCGCAAGGGGCATCTACTGCTCTCCTACGACGGACGATGGATAAGCTCGCAATCACTTCGCTGCTCCAACTCACAGTCTCTTGAAAGCACGCACAGGTGGGCCTACTAATTCCTCGCGTAATTAGTGAGGTAGCATCTTCGTAAATGGTCAGTGAGTGATCGGTCTCATCAACACCGCACAAAGCTCAAAAGCATACTGAACAGTGCCGTAACGCAGTCCGGCCGGTGGCAACTGGCAAGCACCCTGTTCGCTGATGCTCAAGAAACATTATTTCATGGCTGAAAAATAGTTATAAATGGCCTTGTTCGCTTCGTTGAAAAAACCAATAAAGCACCTGTTTCGACCGATTTGTTATGAGAGAAAATATCGCTTACACTAAAAAATAAACCGAAAAAAAACAGATTATAAGAGAAGCCAACGTACCCATCAAGCTCAAGCCAACTGGGCGAAGATCCGAAGGACTGCAGGAGTACAGGATTTCACCGCCGCGGTAACAAGAACGGCTACCGGTTGGCAGGCACCCGTCACGTGCGTGTCGAAAAAGCTTGCCGAGAGGGGAAGAAAAATCTACTGCTACACGCCAACAAATCGACAGCCGGCAAGTGTGAAAAATACGTACAGGGAGAGCCTGGGGCACGGACACGTAACCGCCACTCGTTCGTCACCTCGTGAGATCTGCAGGCCCGTGCCGTGTACCTACGGTGGCTGGCCGTGGCCGGAGGTAGGCCAGGCTCCGGCGGGACGCCAGCCCGGCCGTGCAGGGCCAAGCGAATTATTACCGCCTGATTCGAGCCCCGCAAGCACACATGCATGCATGCATGCATGCTCGCGGATCGCGAGCGCAGCAGACAGCGTGTGAAACGTTTGCTTCCTCGCTACTGCGCTAGTGCGCCCCGGGCCACGGGGCCCCGCGCCCATCATGGCTTCGTGACAGCAACGGCTAGTCGGCGATCGCGACCGTTGATTCGATCGAGGAAGAGGCCGAGAGCGAGCTCCCGGTGGATCTGATGATGATCTGATCCTCGCGCGCGCGCGGCCGCGGGTCCGGCCGTGCTGCCACCCCGAGCCCATCACGAGGCGAGCCGCGGGCGCATGGGCCGGTCGGCCGCGCCCGCCGACTACGTCGCTCTCGGTGTCTGAACGAGGGCCGGACACTTGTCCCGGCCCGCGGTGGCCTCCCGATAAGGTGCATGGATCTGGGAACGGCGCTCGCACATGACGGGGACTCTCTCTAGAGCGAGCGCGGCGGCGGCACTGGCAGCGCTTGCTTTCTTCCTGGAGCGTCGAGTTAATGGCGATGTGGACGTCGGTTCGGCACGGGATCTGCCAGCACGAAGCGAGGTCTCGAGGTGAAGTCACGTTTCGTTCAGCAGTCAGCAGTCAGCAGTCAATGGATTTCGTTTCACTGTTGCTCGTGCAGCAGCGGCAGCTTTCGGGGAGCTCGACGTTGAACGCGGACACGTACCCGTGCTATAGATTCGGCAAGGTAGCGCTAATTTTATTTAACTGAACAAAACCGAGCACGCGGCACATGCGATGCTGGTAGTTGGACTGCACGTCGCGTGGCGCCCGAGGGGAGGGCGATGAAGCATGTTCTTCGTTCGGCTAGATTAGTCGGCATGTTACCAGGCTCGGCTTTTAAAAACCTTATTCTCAGCAGCGATCAGCCGAAGATTAGATGCGTGCGGCGTTTCGACGGGCCAAAATGAAGAAGAATAAACTACGATTGATCACGGGGTGGATGAAGGCCGATTTATATTATTATTAATAAAGATTAATAAAGAGGAAAAGTGTGCTGTCGTCCGCGAAGTTATTGTGAGGTCAAAGTTTCGTTCTGTAGCCCCCCCAGAAGGTTAGTGTGTTCTGTAGCCACACTGAAAACAAAAGCGCACTGTTTATCGCTGGGACAAAATATGATAGATACTGTATCTAGGTCTACTAAGATATACATCAAAGCAATTCGTGGTCTTGTTTAATGAAAGTTGAGTGAACGAGAAAGCTCAATGTCTACTGGAGAAGAAAAGAATGAGGCCGACAAGCGAACTCAGTGCTACAATATTTAAGGATAATGAGGGGAAAAAAAGAAAAGAGAAAGAAAGAAAAGAGGAGGGGGGAGGATCAAAAGAAAATAAAAATGAACACCCGATCCTAAAATACAGTCAGGACATGTTAGATCTAGGGAGCAGAGCACCCTTTCTCTCACTTCATGACCGTGTTTCTGTAGTGCAGATCCATGTTCACTCTTGATTCCCTAGTTAATGTAACTGATAAACAAGTTGCGTATGGTTTGTTAGACTAAGAATGTTGATTCCCACAGATGTGGTTGATCCACATGTCATCTTGTGTAATTTAAAGCAGAGATGGAGGAGCATGCAAAACACACCGAAGGCTCCCAGTCATGTATCAAGAAAACTAAAAATCCCACCAAATAAGGGTTCACTTGAGAAAACTAGCATGAAGCTAATGTGAGTCCACACAAAATATTCCGTTTCACTTGGGACACATATCTTTAACAAAACTGTATGTTGTGCATTGTGCAGAGACTACTCGGATGGTCTGTCTGCTGGATTGACTAGAGGCGCTCTCTGAATTCTTTCAGGTGGATCGAAGCCGTCCACCGAAGGTTTGACGTACAGATTGAACATGACGTTGGTGAAGATGGTGAGGATAACAAGTCCAAGAGTCGAGAATGCCACATATGTTGGAGAGAATTCTGGGAGTTCATCGGTTGATCCCCGCCCTGTTATCATGGCTCGGTCCAAGTACGGATCTGTTTCAAGCAAACGATAGTTAATATGCTACACATGAGTAATATGACGTCAAAACGCTGTAATCGAGCAGCCACCATTTTAATTTGAGTTTTCTCTGCAGGTGTGCTGTCTCAAAGAAAATCGAGTTGGCTTACAGAACAATTGCAATTTTGTGCGCAGGCAGTACTAACTACTACTCGCTCGCTCTGTACCAATTTATAGGTCATTTTGATACTTTTAGATATACAACTTTTATTATGTATTTAAATATATGGGAGTTGTTCGACTGATGGTTTTTGCAGCTGATAAGCCGGCTAATGCTGTTTTGTTGTTAGAGAAAAACAATGTACCATGACTGCCTCATAAGTTCAAGCGAATAGGGCCATCGTATATTTAGATGCATAGCAAAAGTTACGTAACAAAAAACCAAAACGACCTATAATTTAGGACAAATGGTGGTAAGTAGTAACCTCAGTCTTTAGGTGGCTCAAGATCAGTAAATAGTTTTACATTTATCTTCGCTAAAGTTTATTGAAGCGTTATTCTATGTTCGACCTTTTAAAAAGAATCTCTTCCAAATTTTTTAGACCAAGCATTTAAACTTAAAACACATGACGACAGTGCTTCTTCCATACTCCCTAAGAACCTTAATTGACACTGCACATCAGTTATCCCTACACAAGAGATACGGCAAGTTCATCAGCACGACTGTAGTACGTACTGTTCCACTAGTACTATTTACTTAGCTACTATAAAGTGACAGGGGTTGAACACTTGTGCAGCACACAGCATACTGTAGCATTCTCGCAATTTATCACCCTGTACGTTTGGGTTTGTTTGACTTATAAGCCGTATTTTTTCAGCCAACGAATAATATTTTCCTTTTACATCAAATCAGCCAACATTATTTTTAACCATGACTTATCAGCCAAATAAGCTCAAGCCGACAGGACGATACCTAAACCCAAAGTTCCTACAGAACACACAGGACTGGTCAATCCCTTCTGAATGCGGTAGCCCGTAGGCAGGTCAAAACTTTCAGTATGAAGACAGGACAACCTTGCGTCGCACGTTACAAAACTACACAGTTTAATGCTGTTGGCGTTCCAGAAAACACAGATTCATGCAAACAAGCACTAGTTCATGCAAACAAGTCTTGGCACCGACGAAGATATGAAAGGAAGTTCCCTTCTCAATTTCAACTGAAAGATCAGCGCATGTTCGTTTGGTTTATAAACCGTACTTTTTCAGCCAACTGAAAGATATTTTTCTCTCACAACAAATCAGTCAGCAGTACTTTTAGCCATGACTTATCAGCCTAGCGAACAGGGCACGTGATAATGGACACGTACAGAGGCTACTAGCCTACTCTACTAGCACTGGACATAAGCTGAGATGAGTTCGCAGAGGCTGGAATTACCCGGAGGAGGAGGTGTCGTTGGCGGCCGCAACTTGGGCTCGACCAGCCCCTCCAGCAGCGCGTCCAGCTCCTCCAGCCGCTTCCGCGTCTCCTCCGGCGTCTCGCGCCGCGCCGCCTCCTCGCCCCCCTTTCCCGCCGACGAGAAGCTGATTAACTTCCGACACGTCCTCCCCCTCCACTCACGCACGGACCGGACAAGACCCGCCGAAAACGCACCTCCTCCTCCTCCGACGGCGCTCGGAGCGAGCAGGCGGACTGGCACCTGCATCCTTGCCAGAGGTCGCCCCGGAACGAAAGTGTCAGCGGCGTGTGGACTGTAGTGGCCGAGCGCGCGCGTGTGGATAACGATTTTGACGACCTAAACGGGCCAAATGGAGCTATCAGGCCTTATGGCCCATGTTATTTCAAGTAAGTTATTAATGGGGAAACAGGCATACGGCCCAAACAAAAACCACAAGTCCACAAGGGCCTACGAAGCTTAGATCCACAGTCCGTCAGTCAGAGTCACCAACTCACCACCAGATTCGAGTATAGTGAAAGCTACTGGTAGATCGCTCGACAAGTCGACGGTATCCGGAAGCCACCGAGGCGAGCGGCGAGCGGCGAGCGCACGCACCGGCACAAGCACAACACCCGGAGGAGGAGGTGCGAGATGGGGGCGTCGGGATCGGGAGGCAACGAGCCCGGCGGACGGCCCTGGACGGCGACCAGCACGTGGGCCCCCGGTCCCGCCGGCGGGACCGTGGAGGACGCTGTCTCGTTCGAGACCTCCGACGACGACGCGGAGGCGTCACTGGCGGGCGTCGTGCTCTGCCACCCGCCGGCCGACTCGGACGGCGACATGGCTCCCTGCCCCTGCGAGGTCACTGGTGAGTCCTTGCTTTGTCTTCGGTAGTACCAGCCTAGTCAAAATCTGGAGGTTTGTTTCGAATTGCTGTGCTCGCGTTAGTCGAATCGTTGATCGGATGCGGCTGCGTGCTCTGTTGGGAGTTGCTGTGTTGCTACTTGCGTCGGACATCGTCTGAGCGGGCAAAACCTAGTAAGCTTGTACTATCTAAACCGAATTGGGCATCGACTGTTTGGGTTCTGGAGATCTAGTGCTGTGATTGTTCCATTGGGCTGGAAGTATCGTATTAACTAGTTGGCCCTCCGCGCATTGCCGCGGAGCATGTATTCTAGTAATATATGTTTGAAGTGAGAATATGAGAAGTATCATAATCATAAGAGAATAAAGGAGTGGACAAAGTAAGTTTTAGTTCTGGTAGCAGACCCTATAGCCTGAAGCTCAATTCAGATAGACCTGTACCATTTCTATTAAACAGTAGAATATAATCAAATTAGCAAGAGGAGGATGAAAATATTATTGCACTTCTGGGGCAAGAGGTGGGAAGCTCCACTGTTCAATTCCTAGGTTTTTGTTCGTCGTGGAATCTGGAGAAAGTGATTTCTAGTCAGTGTAATTAATTTTTTTTAGAGAAACTTTGTATTAAGTTATCTGATGATCTACTGGTGAAATAAATGTTCAATATAAGCAGATGAGTGTGAAAGAACATGATACAAAATAGCAAATTAGAAGTCTGACATCAAGATGCATGTGCACATTTTAATACAAACGGTGGATGGGAATATGTGTTTCGGTGGCAGTAAGTGTCATAAGTGTGCTATACACTTGCAGCTATAACAATTTTCAGTAAGATATTTGACTATATGATAGTAAATACATTGGGGAGAATTACACAAATGAAATGTGAGGCAAGGCATAGGGTATGTAGCATGAATAGCTTGGAGTAGAACTAACAAACGTCGGGTTGATTTTTCTGAAAAAGATCGTTGTAGTGTGTGTGAACTTACGTTGGTGTCGATTGGCTAGCAGCAGTCCAAGAGTTGCTGGCAGCACATGTTGTCGGCATGTTTGTATAGTGTTTGAAGAGCTGAGTCGTCGGGCACAGCGAGATGAATGTGAAGATCGAGCATTGTGTTCTGTGTGACATACATACAAAGAAATAAAAGAGTTAAAGGGCAAACATGAACTTAGAATGAGTATTCATAGTTCTGCTAAATTCACCTTCTTGTCTTTGTAGAGGAACAGATCCCCTGCGCTTTCTGCACCCCTGACCACCATTGAAATAATTAGAACCTGAGACATGCTCTGCAAGAAAATTATAACAGTTTGAGAAGGGAAAACAGATCAATCCCCATTACCAAAAAAATTGAGGAGCAAAAAAAAAAAGAAAGCACAGGAGTAGGCAAATAAATTTGGATATGGTAGAATTGCACATGATATAGCACCAGAAAGGCAATTGAGATAATAAAAGTGACAGAACCATAAATAAAGAGAATCACCAGAATGGGCAGAATTTGTTTCATTAGGAGGTGGCTGCTGGTCTATTACAATTAATACATTTCTATCATTAGGAAAAAGATCAGCAGGTATTGATGTGGGGTCATTGTCATCGACGAACATAAGTACATGCCTAATTCTTCGACGCGATGGAAGGAGCGCTATTTCAGCATGTGGTGTATAAACAGATCAAGTAGAACAATAGGAAACTAAACTGCTAAAGGAGAATCACTGGAGAAGAAGTAATAAGTAAGCTGGTAAACAAAGGAAGGGCACAACTACATCCAAGAAATAGAAGCAGCCCATACAAAAATCAAATGAAAGTACAGGAAGCACAGTTCATCCATGGCAATAAGCTAATGGGAAGTTTTTGAAAGAAAAATACAACATAAATGCATATAACTACCACAACGATTGTCATCCGGTAAATGTGAAGCTGTCATCATTGTAGGCATTGTCTGATGTGGACGCGACATCAGGCATAGACAAAGTCTGCTGCTAATTATTCGTTGCAATGGAAGATGAAATCCTGAGGTATACCTTTCTGGCTGATATAGTTTTGCATGAATGCATCCAGCTGTGATTCATGGATAGCGGTACCTTGCAGGTGGACGACATGTATTTTAATCATTATGTCACAACTCAAACCAAACAATGGACAAATCAAATCTAGCTTGACGGTAAAACTTTTTTTGTTTAGTCATCGTACCATGTACTACATCTGGAAGAACAGTCCTTTGTCTGGGATTTCAAGGGCAATTAGTGAGTACCCCTAATGCCGCATATATGTCTCAGTTTCAGAGGAAGCCAACGCATTTACAAAAAATATATGTCCAAAATGCTGCTTGCTACCAATGGATGTCATGGAACAATGAGAAGGGATATGAACACTCCATAGCAGATGGAACTTAATAGGTCGTCTGTTCGGTGATGCGATGCAGTTAACCTGCAAGAACATTTTCAAATTATGCAATGATACTGCAGACTACTTTGCACAATGAACTACTTAGAACACGCCAATTAGCAAAGAGCTACATCAAGAAGAAAAAGGAAATCCAAGACATATTCATGTACACCACTGTGAAGTATGGAGTTCACACATTCGGAAAGATCAGCCAATTTCTCAGCACAATGCAAGAGAAGAAGATGTAAAAAAAAAGGGCGTACCCAGTGCAGAGAGCTCCCGTTTTGTGCGGGGTCTGGGGAAGGGTGTCAGTGGCAAGTCTTACCCTCGCCTGTGCAATGCGAGGAGACCGCGACTCGAACCCGGGACCTTCCGGTCACAGGCGGTAAGACTCTACCGCTTGCACCAGGCCCGCCCTTCCAAGAGAGGAAGATGTAAAATGGGTCAATTTTGATGCCCCAAAAAATAAGAAAATCCAAGACATATTCACAATCCTAACAGTTTTAGAAATGAACCAACATGAACAACATGGATTTGAACCAATACAGGGATGCACACATTGGCTAAGCAATAGGATAGTGGCATACTGCCAAAAGCTTACACAGGACGAAATCATGGCCGTGGAGTAAATCAAAGTAGAGGACCTAAAGCCACCTGATGCGTATTTCAATAGCATTGCTGCTCAAAATCGGCGCTGAGAAGGGCATACATACCCTGAGCTGCGTAGATGAAGTCGAGCACTGGTAGAATATGATGGAGTGGAGCAGCCAGGCATGCCAATCGAGGATTGGCTGAAGTTGTCGCGTCTAGGTCCGATGTGTCGTAACCTGGTTGAGCTGGGGACCTCTGTAAATTCACAGGCATGCATGGTCGATAAATTTTGGGAAAAAACAAAGTTGGTAGTAGGCATAACACGATTGTAAATCCAGTAATCAGATGAGAGCCGAATAGAAATAACCAAATAGCATAGGTTAGGGTTTGGGTGCTTTGGCTTCGCGCAGCAGTACGGCAAGGGAAGGGGTGGGCATACCTGTTGGGGCGCTCGTCGCCGCCGAAGAAGGGCCCGTCAATAGGTTAGGGTTTGGGTGCTTTGGCTTTGCGCAGCAGTACGGCAAGGGAAGTGGTGGGCATACCTGGTGGGGCGCTCGTCGCCGAAGAAGGTTCCGTCGAGAGGGCCTGGGCAACCGGCGTGCGGCGGCGCGTTGCTCGGGCAGCAGTCGCCGTCACCATGGGGATGCAGCAGAGAGGGGTCCGAACCTGCGGCTGTCGCAGGTGCGGCGTGTGTTGGGGGCTGAAGACGACGGTGGCCGAGACACCCGGCTGCCCTGGACGCGGCACCGGCGGCGAAGGCGAGCGTTGCGTGGGTGAGGCGCTGGCATGGAGGCTGGTTCGAGGATTTGGAAGTTTTTATTTTTTGGCCGGGCTCTTTTACGGATGGGAAACGAAAGGTCCCGAAGCGGCCTGGAAACTTCGAGCGCATGCGCCGCAGAGGGGAGGAGGAGAGGAAGCGACAATGATGAACAGGGTAACAGTGTAACAGTAACGGCTGGGCCATCTACACGTGTATTGATTTTTATTGATGCTTTGGGATCCCTTTGTTAATCTTACGTGCTGTTAAACTAATGAACTTTAAGGTCTTGTTGAGATGCACAGACCCTGCTCATAATGTTGGTACAGACTACTGAAGTTGATGTATGATCACTAGACACTATGTGAGATATAGTGGGTCCATTTTCTGTTGAAGGAGTGGTGGTTAGTTACATATAACAATCTGATGCTTCTTATTCAGTCCACGATCATAGCAACAGTAATTGGTAGTTTCAGATGGTATGATACTTCAAAAATTACATTATCTGGTGTGTTACATTTACTATAACTTAACATTGACATTGTCGGATTCTACTTTACCATGGAATCTGGAATCTGATTATGGCATTGTTCCCAATTCTACTTTGATAGCGTCATTACTGGTTTTGGCCTGTTCATCATTACTGATTTTGGCATGTTCTATTGAACATTTGAACTGTTGAATTCCTATGGAAGCCTTTAGTAGTGCAAATTTCTAGACAGTGCATTCTCATTCTGTATACATACTTGAAGTTGATTTTCATTTCATTCTATAAATACCACAGTACCTTTTGTGGATATATTTCAAGTCATTTTGGTTGGCTAGGACATCCAAAATGACTTGAAATATATCCATGAATCCCTGTCTACATGTACAAATCCCCTCCATGTAAGCAGCTGTCCTTTGTTGACATCCATAAACTCTGTATTAGGTGATACAATCACCGTCATTGCGGCATCATGTCGCTAAATTAATATATATGCTTTTCATCAAAAAACAAAGTCATTTTGTTATGCGCCAGACTTATTCAAGGATTTTATCCAGTTAGTTTCAGGGGAAAGTATGAGATTCACAGGGTATATGTGCGAAGCACAGCTCGGATATATGAACTATACCACTCTCCTGATGCAAAGGGTACCAGCAAGGATTATCTATGCACTGTGCGTTGTGGACTTGCTGTTAAAGAACCGCAGCCCTGTGGTGAAGAAATTATGTCTCAGTGGACTGGCAGTGCTTTAAACAGTGACAAGCGTGAACATGAGGCAAAAAGTGTAAGCAGTGGTAGTGATGAAGATAGTTGGGTTGATGTCAAGATTCCAGAATCTCCTGCACGAAATAAAACACTAGAATCTGAAGATAGGAATGTGATTCGAACCTGCCAAGAAAATACTCTGGTATGTAATTATTTTTTGGTTCTGCACAATAAACATTAGTTAATACTTATTTATCACCGAAAGTTTCTACTGGCAGTGGTTTTGACATAGATCTCCTGAACTTTGTCGAACCTGTAGAATTAATCCAATCTACAACATCATGAAAAAATTGATCTGAATGCACATTGTAGATTTGTCAAACTGAGAGATATTAAATTTTCTGTAGACCTCTGACTCTGACATGAAATGAGGAAGCATCGGGAGATAATAGATATTGAATACCAGAGATAACTAGATCAGTTGTGTGATTTTTTAATACTTTGTGTGAGTTTGTTAGATAAAATAAGGATGTTTTTTCTTTGTTCGGAGTTTCTTATTGAGTTCATTTCAAAGGATCTACAGCCTTTTTGTTAGCGGTACGTTTAGTGAAGTGGGATTGATGAGCAGGCAGACTTACAAGTTGCAACTTTGGATGTAGTAAAAACATCTTTCTTATCTTTTGTTATTATATGTATTGCAGGCACACTATGAAGCTACTGCCGAGATGACTGATGTGAACCCATGTGTATCTCTTACCATCCGTCTTCTATCACTTCAGTCAAAGACATCAGTGCACATTGAGGAGATCTACATATTTGCGGATCCTGTTGAGTTCACCAATGATGATTCAGTAAGAGGTCCTGTAAACATGGGAGGCAGTTCTTTGCTGGCAATGCTTGTTCCTGGCCTTATGCAAATGTCTAAATCAAGGAATTTGAAAATTGATGACAGTTATTTTCTGATGGATCAAGGAATCAAGAGAGCAGCACATGTGAAAGGGTTACACAGGAAGCAGGGCTGCGTAGCACAAACGATTCAAAATATCGTCTGCAGGGATAGAAAGTGGAATGAGCCCTATAATTGGTGGTGCAGTATCTGATGAAAAAAGTAGCGAAGGTGAGTTCCAGTTCAAGGACCCCGATTCTCATCCATTACCTGTACAAACATTAGAAAGTACACAAGCGCCATCAGTGAAGGACCAGCGAGAATTGAACACAGGTCATCTTGCTAATCCCCTCGTGAATGAAAACTTTACTCCTTGTAATCATATTGAGAGAAAGTTGGATACTCTGCTCTTGAAGGTAGAGAAGATGGAATTATATTGCTCAAGGTTTGAGGACAACATGATAAAGCCCCTTGGTAGCATTGAGGCAAGGCTTCAACGACTGGAGGAACAGTTTAATTCGTTCTCTGTGGATATTCAGTCTTTGAGAGGTTCTTCTGCATTTACCTCAGCACCAGATGGTATGTCTAATACAACGAGCTCACAGGAGGAAGCACATAATGATGCTAATGATAAAAGTACTCCTACAACTGACAGGAAGCCAGGTTTAGTTGTCAGGGCGCCAGATTTTATGTCAGATGATTCCTGTTGTTATAATGTAATAACTAATGGAAACCATGTTAATTTTCGTGGGCCTAATGTGGTGCCAAGGCTACTTGTAAAGGTCCCTGATTCTATTGCTCAACCTGAGCTAACTGATGGAAACCTTCATGATGGGCCTGCTCTATCCTCTGAAAAGGAGCGTAAAACTTCCCCAGGTTTAGTTGTCAAGGTTCCTGAATTCCCAGATGATGATGATGATGATGACGAAGTGGAAGAAAAGAAACAAGCTGAAGTTTGTGGTGATGGTGATGATCACACATGGTCTGATGATACTCCGAGGAAAAGCACAGCTGGCAACACCAAGAGCAAAAACACTGTATCTATCAATGGTGCATTGGCGTCTGCATTGGAGGCATTACTCACTTCTACCAAAGAAACATCATCTTCGAAACCTGCTGTTTGCACTACCAGTAATTTATGTGCTGAAAATATCGATAATTCCTTCAGTTGTTCCCTTTCTCCTGGAAAAACTTGTGAGATGTCCACTAAAGATGGTTCAGCTGACCAATTTCTGGGTGCATCTGGTGATGCAAATTTGGTCGGTGGCTTCATATCTTCTCCGGATATTGACACAACTCCACATAATTCTCTCTCAAAGGAAATGTTGGATAGCAGGGTTGAGATAAATGAACAGAACGATGATATCAATACATCAAAGGTGGCATTTGTTGCAATCGCAGAACCATTGGATGTTCCCTCACAGACTGATACAATTGAGGAATCTATTGATGATGGAAATTGCGTGAATAGACAAAACAATGGTCCTAATTTGAATGCAATGCCATATGTTGTGAATACTGGACCTTTGGATCCTCCTACAGTTTTTGAACCTGTTGATAGTGGGGTTGAGGTGAATGGAAATAGACCTTCCATATCCTTGGTGGAGTTTCTTGCAGCAAGGAATGCTAGCTCTTGTAAGAATGGTACTTCTGAGGTATGCCTTGGTAATGATGGTGCTGAAAAACTGTCTTTTGAGAGAACATCGGCTAGAGCTGATAAAAATTCGAAAAATATCAGTCAACTTCTAGTGAAGAGAGCTCTTGAAGTCGATGCAGATGAGGGAATTTTTTTGTCTAGTGTACCCATTGGGGCAAAATTTGAAGGATCAAGCAGTAATGCCCCCAGAACTAGGGGTGGCGATATTAATAATACGAAAGCAGCAGTCTCAGATGAGGAATGTGGCCTGAAAAGTACAGAGAATGGATTTAGGCCTTCTTCAATGATGGACTCTATATTTTCTCAGTATCATGCTACAGATTCCAATAAAAAATTGATTGAGAACAGCAGTTTGGACTGGAGTCTAGATGAGAGTTTTTCAAAACAGAATGGGGAACATTCCTGTTCAAGTTCGATTAGTATGGGTATGGAGTCGTTTAGTGGAGCACCTGCCAGAGAACCTATTATTTCAGGGAATGACACGTCAGGAAACTACGTTGAAGATCTTGCAGGCATTGGAGATCGTCCTGTTGCAACACTAATTTCTGGGGAAGAGCTGCAAAAGGTTTGTGATTTACTTTATGAGTTTAAGGATGACATGCTGGCCATGACCTCGGCAGGAAAGGGTACAAATAAGAGCAGCCCGTCCCTTGAAGTATTGCTTGCTGAATCATCTGATTCTGAAGCACAAAATTCTGATCTGGAGGGTATTGACAGTGGTGCTGGCATTGGCTCAACTCGACTGTTTAGTACACTCTCATCCTCAGACGACGATGCTTCTGCTGCGGATGAGCCTTTAGTTGATATTGCTGACCTGACTACACCATCAGAACCATATACTTCTGCTCTTAATAAGCCTCTGGTTGACGTGGCTGACTTGACAAACCCTTCAGGGATAGATGCTTCTTCAGTGAATGAGCCTTCAGCTGATGTGGTTGATCTGCCACATACTTCAAACGAGCCTTTGGTCAGTTTGGATGATCTGCCAAAACCTCCAGAGACGTCTTTTGGTGGGAGCAGTGGAGAACATCTTGACAGTCTTATATGAGGATATGCGATACTGATAGTTCAGAGATGAGCGGAACATATTCCTGCTGCACTAGTTGGTGTGTCCTGTACAGTGATGACCGTTTTCTTCTAAGTTATGCAGAAGTTTTTGTACATAAATAAGTCTTTATGTCTGCATCAATTTATACTAAATACTATGAAAGCAGAGTAACTTTGGTTTTGGGTTGCTAACTTGCTATTCTCCCGTTCGTGTAATCCATTACAACCTAACACTTGAGGATATAACTTTTTACTGTTGCCCGTTCATTTTCAAGTTCTGAGCATTGCAGGAGAGAGCATACCACTTACTAGACGCGCCTATATTTGTACCATTTCAATTGGCAGCGAAGTTACCAGACCTGAGTTACAATCAAGGATCAACCCTTCATCTAGACCAGACAAGGTATGGCATAACTTCACTGCGTACTTTTCATTATCTCCCTCTTCTCTGATACTTAAGCATAATTAAATTTAAGGATGAAAACGGTACGGAAATATCCCGTACCAAACCGTATTGTTTTCTATATTTAATCCGATCGAATTCGTATTTTTGGACAAATTCGAATTCGGTTTGAAATTCGAAACACCAAATTCGAAATCGGAACGCGGTTTAGATATTTTTCCGACCATTTTCTACTTTTCTATTTTTAATTCGGAATATCCCGAATTCGAAATTCGGTTTCGAAATTCGGTTTATACCAAATTTGGCCCACTAGAAGTCCAATCTTAGAAAAATTATATCTTTTTCATATGATCTCGGATGAAGATGGTTTTTATATGAAAATTATAGCTCTCGACGAGATCTATAACTTTCTAGTATTTAGTTTTTTCATTTGAAGTTTTAAGATGTTCGAAAAAATTAAACAAAGTTTCATGGGTATATTAATCGCATACAAGCGTTTGCTGCCTTAGAAAAATCATATCTTTCTTATATGGTGTCGAATCGAGATACTTTCTAAGAAAATTGTAGGACTTGTTAATTATTATTCACTTGTTAATTGTTATGCACTTGGTCCTACGGGTTAATATTTCGTATTGATTTTTCGTATACCGACCGTGTTCGACATAATTCCGCTCGAATTAGTTCGTTTTCGAAATTCTCGATATTCCGTAAGTTCGTGTTCGTTTTCGTGCCCGGCTTTACCGCTTTCGCTTTCGTATTCAAATGTAGAAGTAGAAAATGGTTGAGAGGTTTTCCGACCATTTTCATCCCTAACTAAACTGCTTTAGTAGTAGTAGCAGTAGTATGTAATTTCTTGTACTAATCGCGTGATCATTTAACCGCTGGCCGCTGACAGGTGAAGCTCGGAACACGCCATGTTCTTTTACTTTTGAAACGGTACATGCCATGTTCCATGACATAAGAGTGAACAGAAGAACAGGCGGCGCTCTGTTCACATGTGAGCTTGCCTGCCGCCTGCTGCGCGCCTGCGCTCCGTGCATAGACGCACATGGGCTAGCCCTGTCTATGGGCCTGGCGAAGTCGTCCCGCCATTAGTACGAGGCACGGGCCCGTGCGGCCCATTAGTGGGTCCGAGGCCGCTTCGCTCTGTCCAGGTGCAAGGAATCCGTGGATTCGCATCCTCTCCGGTCTGACGGTCTCCCCTCCCGTGCAGTCAAAAAGGAGACGAACAATTTTCAGGTACCAAAAAAGAACCCCCTTTTGTCTCTTCGTTATAACATGTACTGCGTTACCTTAGCATTTGTTCACACCTTCACTATTGTGCAACCAAAAATGAGCAGATGAATATTTTGAGTTGCACTGTTGCCGTGTTAAGCTGAGCCGAACAATAAACGAAAAAAAAATCTTGCGTCCGCACTCCAAGGAGTAATATACTGAGGATCATCTTTTGTGCACTGTACTACACTCCACCTTAGAATATTGTTTAGCACTCCAAGTAAGTTGAAGGTCACTTTTCTTCTAGGGATATGGATATTGTTTAGCACCTCCGTTTAAAATATACGACGATTAAACTAATTCACTTGTCTTAAAGCATCATATAATGTAGTGTAATTAAAAACAGAGGGAGTACTAGTATACTTACCTTTTTGTTAAACTATGATCATGCTAATTGGAAGTATGGGTCGGAATTTATTAATATAGCGACACGAAGACCTAGCCCTATCATCAGCCTCCTTTTTGCAGAGGGCACTTTCGGATATATAGGATATTGTGTGTTAATGATGAGTGCTATTCCTCACGACTGTGGTGATATGTGACTGAGTTGAGGTGACATTCGAATAGTCAGAAACAGCTTTGACCTCACGACTGTGGACTGTGGTTCTAGCTCTACAGCAAAACTGATGTTCCAAGTGAAACTCGTCAGTGCATGCAGAGAAGCAGAAAGTTCATGGAGTTCACTATACATGTGTGCCAAATTACTCTCCAGTCTTTCCTTAAGAAAAAAACAGTAGTAGCAGAATTGTCAATTTTTGCCGTTGAGAGCATGGGAGCTTCACCGCAGTGAAGGAAATAAACACAGAGAACAGAAACGAAGAAGAAAGCCACTACCACAGAAATTAAGTGTGCAAGCGGCCCAATTTACACAATGGTAATGGACTTCGTATCTTGTTCATATTGACATACACAACCGTCGATGACAAAATTCCAACAAAATACAGGCAGCTCTTGCCCTCAAGACTCGGGCAGAGCACATCCTTCTTATGGTATATGTACTTTCCCTGTCCGTCGTGGCCATGGACTTTGCAATACCATACCATATGAAACACAAAACAGGAGAAATAGAAAAAAAAAGTTACAAATCATACATGTGGTGGATGCAACACTAAAACAAGCGTTCCACACAGCTAGCACGGCACTGATCACTCTGTCTGATCCCGGGGAGTGAAGCGGTGAACGATCCAATCCAGCGAACAACTGAACTGCACAGGCGGCGGCGACGAGCAGAGCAGGCAGGGCAGAAGAATTGCTGAAGAAGAGCGAAGGCCGGTGGCCGGTGGGGGGAGTGGGTTCAGAAGAAGGAGCGCTTGGTGGAGGGCGCCCTCCCCACGGCCCTCATGAAATTGGCGAGCTCCAGCACCCGCGCCACCTTGGTGCCCCGCTTGGCCTCCGCCGACGCGCGCTTCTCCTCCGCCTTCCGCCGCGCCTTGGCCACCTCGTTCTGCGCCTTCTCCATCGCCTTGGCACGCTTCTCCTCCAGCTTCCTCTGCACATGTCATACCATACAAATACATGCATTTCTATCAGAACAATTCAGATACTTGCATGATTAGGAGGTTTGCTGGTTTTGTAGGAGTATATGTTGGTCAGTGAAGGTATAGATGGATGGATTACCTCGTACTTCTTGAGCCAGGCGCTGGCCTTCTCGACCTGGTCGCCCTCCCAGCCGTTGATGACGACCTCCTCGCGCTTGAAGCGGTTGTTGACCTTGGCCACCTCGGCGATCTGCCACGCCGCGATCTTGGACTCCACCTCCTCCTTCTTGACCTGCCCCACGGACACCCCGCCTTCGCCGTTGGCGTTGCCGTGGCCGTTGGCGGCCATCAGCGCGACGTCGGCGCCTCCTGGGGTGGGCGGGCCCCGGCGCGGCGACGGGATGGGGTTGCTGTCGGGCACGATGGCCAGCGGGTTGGTCTCGTCCAGCTCCTCCTCGGCCTCCCCGATCCTGCTCCTGCCCATGGCGTCCACGACGTCCCTGTCGGCGGCGTCACCGTTGGCGGCGGCGTTGGCGCTGGCTGCTGCGGCGACCATGGCCGAGAACTCCCTGCTCATAGTCGGGAAGGGCTCGCTGGGTGCGGTGTCGCTCCCGACGGAGCGGATGGACGTGTGCCTGCTCCCGCCCGCGGCGGACCCCCACGACGCCCGGAGGCGGTACGACGACGGCTGGCTCGGCGTCGGCGGCGGGCTCAGCGCGTGGATGTCCCTGAACTCCTCTTCCTCCTCCTCGTTCTCCCCCACCGGCTGCAGCCGCCTGTCGTCCTCGACGCTCCTCTCCTGATGCTCGACGCCGCCGCCGCCGCTGCTAGTGCTAGCCGCCGTCTGTTCACTCAACATGTGGCACGCTGCTTCCTCCTCGACGCTAAGCCTCTAGCGGCCGCGAAACCATCTGCGGCTGGGCGCAGCTGGTCAGCTACCTGATCGAAGGCTTCTCGCTGCGGGTGCGGGGTGGACTGCGGTGGTGGTGGCGGCGGTGTGTGGTGAGTAGGATGGTGGCGGGGGGCGCCTTCTTAAATAGAAGCCGGAGGGAGGCGGTTCCAGGCCGTGGCAGCGGGGAGCGCCCCACCAGCGGAGGGCGAAACGGGAGTACAGGACCGTTGGCCGTCCTGGATATTTCCCAAATTTACGTCCATTTCTCGCGGCTTTTTTCGTGACCTTCGTCTCGCTTTCTCAGCACCTAAGGAGATTGATGTTTATTATTTTCAGAAGAAAAGCTATTCCTTATTTTGGTGAGGGGCACGAGTCGCGTGGCCAAAGTGCGCTGACTCACACAACCGATCAGTGCTTGGGATTTCATTATCTTCCTCCCGGTTTGTTTACGAGCTTTGGGTTGGATACGCTTGCGCGCACGTAGAGTTGTTTTCGTTAGGGAAAAAGTTACTTAACCCCTACCTTTTATATTTGGTCTACTCATCCCCAACTATGAAACCGTCTGTTTTATCCTGAACTTTCTAATACCGTCTATTTTACCCCCTGGACGGTTTTCAGCGGCGGTTTTGCCACAGTATCAGCGGGTTGCTACAGTACAATGGTTTTGATTTTTTTTTATTTATTTTCGGTGATTTTTTGAACAAATCATAGAAAAACCGCTGTTACTGTAGAAACCGCTGTAGCAAACCGTTGTTACTGTAGCAACCGCCGCTGAAAACCGTCCAGGGGGTAAAATAGACGATTTTAGAAAGTTCAGGGGTAAAACAGTCGGTTTCATAGTTGGAGGGGTGAAGTAGATCAAGTATGAAAAGTGGGAGGTAAGTAGATTTTTTCGTAAAAATTTCATACTTATTGGACTATGTATAACTTAGTTATAGATAAATTCTAATTAA